TGGTTCAAATAAAATATTTAAAATATCACATTCATTATTTACCAACAATTTAACAATTGCACAAAAAACTCAAAACCAAATATAAGAAGAATTAAATTATAATGAGTAACTATAATTCCAACTTTCTAAGATTATGAAATTATAATTTTTTCAATTACTCAACAAAAATAACTATAAATATAAAAAGAATAGAGAGATAAAAAGTTAAGTACCTACTCCAATGCTCCTTGCTTTGAATTAAATTGACCAAAACCTAACATAAAAAGAATTAAATTATAATGAGTAACTGTAATTCCAACTTTCAAAGAGTATGAAATTATAATTTTTTTCAATTGCTCAACAAAATTAATTATAAATATAAAGAGAATTGGCAGATAAAAAGTTAAGAACATGCTTTAGTACCCCTTGCTTTGAATTATATAGACCAAAAGAGAGGAGCAAAAAAATTGTTTTCTTATGATTTTGGGGACCAGTCACTGACCACACTAATAAATTGATAAAAAAAACTCTAAAAAATTAAATTTTTTTGAGTTTTGAGTACTAACTTAAATACCTTTCACCTTTTTACCTTTCCAAATTGTCTACTCTCTCCTCTACCATCCTTCTTTAATCTACTGCACATGAGTGATGAGTCAGATTTCGAGTCAAAAATGGTGTCTCCAACATTCTTTATGCTTTTTCACTAACTTGGCGTCTCCAACACTCTTTATGTTTTTTTTTTCACTAATATATGGGTCACTAATATGGGCTGGGCTTAATATAAGGGATTTTTGTATCAAACGATGAGTAGATTTAATATAAAGGGCTTTATATTAAATGACGAGTGGGTTTAGAAATGGACAATAAAAAATGGACTAATAAGTTTCATAACTAAGTAGTTTTATTAAAAAATTTTCAAACTTTAAGGAGGAAGGAAAAGAAAATTTTACATATATTAATTTACAAATTTTCAAAGTTCAAGAGGGGCAAGATAATTTTTCATATACTAATTTACAAAATTTTCAAATTTTAAGGGGGCAAGTGCCCCCTCACCCCCTTCCTTTCGCCACTAATTGTCACATTCCAAGGAATATCTGCTTTCTTCATCTATTGAACAATGAAATCCATTCTTCAACTTAGAAGACAGGCATGAGAAAGGAGGTGCACACCAAACAATGTCAAAAAAAAAAAGGAAGCAGTATTGTGCAATTTAAACTATTTCATATTATACGACTTAAACAATTGAATGAGAGATAATCCTTCTAATGTTGGGAGCTTTTCTTTCATCTAATAATTTTTTATTGTGTAATTTAAACTATTTCATATTATACGACTTAAACTATTGAATAAGAGATAATCTTTCTAATGTTGGGAGCTTTTCTTTCATCTAATAATTTTTGTTTTACAGTTTAAATTATACTAAATTACAAAATATAATTATATTTTTTCTAATAATTGAAAAGTGCTTCTATTGGTGATTTGACTTCATTTCTTCTCGTTTGCAAAATATAAAACATGCCCCTATGGTGAACAAAATGGATCAATGTGGTCTAAATTTAAAATTCTAATTTTGTCGTGCACAAGAAGAGAAGGAAAAAAAAGAAGAAGGGGAAACAAACAAGAGAAACTGTCATACACGACAAATTGTATGCAGTTTGTATTGTAAAATTATTTCAATATCTTTAATTTTGTTTTTATATTATTTTATCAAAGACATTTAAATAATTTTACAAAACGGACTGTATGTAAATCAGTTTTATGAAAGAACAAAACGGTAAAATAATTTTTACCTCAATAAATATACATCCAAATGATGGAAATGGTTGATTGATTTTTTTCTTTTAATTGAGAAATTGTAAATTACAATGGGTCACATAAAAGTTGACATTTTAATTTTAACTAATGCCAGACATTAGTAGTCTCTTGACTATGTTCATTACTAAAACACTTAGTCCCTAAAGAATACACTTAATGACATTTTGGCCCCAAACAAAAAAATTGTTTCAATTTAATTGCTCCCTAAATATTGGAATGATCTTCATCAAGTGCCTCTATTAATCTTTTCATTTGTTTTCTGGACAAATGTACTGTAATTGCAACAAGAACCACTAGGTGTCAAAACAAGATAAAGTGTGGTATACAATGAAGTTATATAAAGCATAAATCTTTTTTTTTTTTATTGGTCACTTTGGATTTAAACAAGATCACCCCAATAACTAATTAGCCAAATAATAATGAATTATGCATATTAGCCATGCACACATGATCTTATAAAGTTATGTACTCATGTGACATTAAATAAGTAATTGCATATCAATTGTCATCATACTTAATAAAAAGAGTCAATCACAATTATTGTCATTAAGTTTATAAACTTTTATATTTTGAGATAGGATACAATATTTGAGATTTATGCATTCATTTGAATAGCTAAACACTAAGAAATTTGAAATGATGAATTTGGTTCATAGAATGTGAACTGGTGGACAAGGATGATAAGCATTTTTCTTTGTGTTCTTTCCTTCTTGATATTGGGGTAGGGAATTTCAATCGGCACTTTAGGTTGAAGTAACATCCTCCTTACCAAACCCATAGGGATGGCAAGAAGTGAAAATGAATGGGAAATTTGACATGGTAGATAATGACTAATATATAAAAAGTGCCACGTGGCAATCATTGAAATGATTGATGGTGCCTTTGATAATCATACCATTATTTTTTGTAATGATAAGGAAGGAACCCTACCCTTCTAATTTTTGGACATACAACATATTGCCTTCCCAAATACCCAAAACCCATTGTTGTTATTATTCCATCCAAAGAACCAAATTTATTAATAATTCATTAACTCAATGTCAAAACAAAAGTGTTTGATATCACTACAAAGTACAAACCAAGGCCACAAGTGCTCTAAGTGCTCTAAGTGCTTCTTTTTTATTCCTCGTCAAGGATCTCAATATTTTAATTTGTTTATTTACAGAGTCAAATTCTTTAATTTTACTATACAAGATTTTATTGAGTAATTCTATAAAAATGACTTATCTTAGGTGTTGACTGTTCAAAAAAAAAAAAGAAAAGACTTTGTCAATGATAATATGAACAAAAAATTTAAAAAAGAAATGTTGAAATATAAAAGAAAGACTACCGTTGGTGTGAGACCTCAATAAACCCAATAAAACTTAATTTTGTCCATGCTATTCATGAGAAGGAAGTTTTTTTACAACACTTAATGTGTACCACTTTAATGAATTAAGAAGTCCATGTTAACATTCCATCTAACAAAGCTTTTTATAATAAAATTAGTGAGTTTGAATTCTTAAATAGAAAAGCTAGAGAGTTGAGATCTTCAATTAAGAAAAGTTTAGATCCTTAATAAACTTCCAAAAGTTAGAATCCTTAAATGTAATAATTCTTAAACATCTTATTGTTTTTGATTTTGTTCAATTCTTACGTATAGTGGCCCATGCCATGCTCATGACTTAACAGTCCTGTTATGTGTTACACACTGTTTGCTTTTTTTTGTGAAACTTATGTCATTAAAGATATTAAAAAAAAGTTGCCCAAATCCGGATTACATTAAATTATATAATATAAATTATAGATTATTAGATCAAATTTAAGATCTTTTTATTATAAGAGTAAATTTTATAATTCAACAATTTTTATTTTATCCTTTAATCTATAAATATTAAAGAGATGTCCATACCACATAATATGTGCTACACGCGCGTTGCACGCAAAGTAAAGAGGCAGGTTGGATTAACATATCTCGTTGCACTAATAATTTAATTAGAGAAAAAAAAATAAGATGTTCTAACATTAAAAATATTTGAATATCCAATCACAATCATTCAATAAATAAGATATAGTATAAATTTTAATTTTATTAAATATATTATACAATTATTATTAGATATTTTAATATTTTAATATCAACATGTCCTAATTTTCTCCTTTTTCATTCTCAATAACAACTTTTTTTTAGTGTTGAAATAAAGAGATTCAAAACTTTACTTATGAGTAAAGGTATAAATATGGATGTCAATTTTATTTATTTTTTATTTAAAAATGTTAATTTTGTCAGTTTCTAAATAATGATATTAATTTTTAATTTTTTCTAAATAAAAATGTCAACTTTCAATTTTTTCTATTTAAGGGTGTCAATTTTTAACCTTTTTTATTTAAGAATTAATTGAGTGGTGATACTGACGTGGCTAACATATTTTTTTAGGTTAAATACCTGAATTGATCCTTCAACTTTTATTTTTGAACCAATTCATTCTTGAACTTTAGAAAGTACCGAAAACG